TGCGTCTTATATGCCAGAGCGTCTTATATGCCGAAAAATACGGTATTATTATTATTATTATTATCCTTTTGCATACAAGTATCTACCATTGTCTACCCAAGTGTATCTACCCTTAAAGATTAGCAAGCTTTAGTTAGTTAGTTAGCTGAATAAGTGGATGCACATCTGTGAATATAGAGGGCCCGACTGTACATGTTTGAGGTGGGAAGATGTAATTATGAGTGATTTTAATTGTTTTTAAATTTTGTTTTGAGACAATTAAAATTTTATTTTATTGTAACATTTCATTTTACTGGAAACATTTTTTAATTTACTGTTTCTGGAAGCCACTTTGGGTCCCACTCTTGGAGAAAGGTGGCATGTAAATGAAATAATTTTTTAAAAAAAGAACTAGTGAGGTGAGAATGAATGGAAATAAAAGAAGTACAAACATTTATTATTATCTTAACTATCATTAACAAACAATTGGGTGGAAGGATCGCATAAATAAGCTGCTTAGTATGTACATTTTGAGAAGAAATCCAATAAGTGAAAGACAGTTCAAACAAACTGTTTGGAATGAAATATAAAATCTGTAGCTATAAAGGAAATCAGACCATGCCCCCCTTTGTATTACTGCTGTTTGTCTTTACTTTCTTTCACACCCTGTCCTGTGAATCAGATCACAGAGGCCTCTTCTGATATTTTCATCAATGTGTACCTTTCTATCATCAGTGAAAAAAATGCTAGCAAATAATGTATATATTCATGTATAAGTCCAGAATTTTTGGTCAAAATATTGACCCCAAAAAACTGAGTCAACTTATCCATGAGTCAATGTAAGTACTGTACTTTAACTCTTATTTTAAAAAGGAGCCATCACCTAGAAAATGGCAAGAGCATAATCTGTCCTGTAATCACTGACCCTCCTCTATTCTCTCATTCATCCAGCCTTTACTATAAGCACAAACATGCTTGCTGGAATTTTGTAATTTTTGGGGCATTGTTTGGCTTTGCTTCATCCTTTAGATCCTTTGTTGCATGCCCCTAAGCTTTACCTTCGACTTATCCATCGGTCATATCAAAAAACTTAATTTTGGCCTCAATACCTGTCCTCGACTTATAGTTGAATATAAATGGTAAATAAATGAATATGATGAGAATAGCACTGAAAGTGTCTGTTCATGACAAAATAATAATATTTCATTGTTCTTTTTGTCAGTGTGTGGATGATGGGTGTTGCAGTGATGCTCTTTGAC